TTATTGAAGTTTCGTGACAAATTTAATTGAACGGTATCGATATTATTGTGGCCAGCGTCAATATTGCTCGAGATAAGTGAAAAGTGAAATTTGGACTGGGTGCGAATTTGGATTAGTACACCTCCCTCGTAGTGTGTTTTAATTAATATCTTCTAGCCTTTTTCCTAATTTATAATTAGGTTTTTTCGTGGATCGTTAGATCGATTTTTGGTTTGAACGTGGGCCGTTGGATCGCGCAATCATTGCGTTGACTTTTGTCTCTCTCTCTCTCTCCCCCCTTCTGCCGCGTCCCCTCCCCACTGCGCCCGTCCACTCCCCCCTTTCCCCATGCACGTCCCCTCTCACCCCTCTCTCTTCCTTTTTCTTCTTCCCTTTTCTTCTTCTTCCTCTCTTCTTCTTCTTCTCTGGTTTTCTCTTCCGCCTCGACTGTTTCTGCTTCTGCTTCTGCTCGCTCGACCAGTCATTGCCGATCGCCCCTCGCCGTCCGCCTCGCGCCACCGTTGCCCCGACTGAGCCGCGCCGCCATTCGTTGCCCGCAACCGCCTATCGCTGGCCTGCCCACACTTCACGCGAGCAACAACTCGCCATTGCGTCCGCCCCGGTCCGGGCCATGATCGCTCGCCGGCACGGTCCTCCGTCGCCGGCCACCCGCAACACCGCCATGTCGCCTCAAGGCACAAGGCGACTCTCCGCTTTCCCCCTGTTTCTCTCTTTCCCAGCCTCTCCCCTGTTTTGAGCTCTCCCCGGCTCCGCCTTGTCCAGCCACCGTGTGCCGCCTTGTCCAGCCACCGCGTGCCGCCGTTCCGGCCTCCGCCGCTGCTCCGTCCGCCACCACCTAGCTCCCAGCAACCCTGTCCAGCCACTTGCAGCCGCCGTGCTCACCTGGACAGCCCAACGCCACCCCAGCTCAGCCTTGGCCAGACTATCCCGGCCGTGGCCGAGCCTTCATCGTCCAGTCGCCGTCGCCATCGGCCGCTCGTCCAATTCACCCCAGGCCATGGCCGAGCTTGCCTGGCCGTTGCTCAGGCCGTGCCCGAGCGTGCCCAGCCGTGCCGGAGCTCGCCTAGCCCGTTGCCCAACCGTCCCAGCCGCTGTCCATCTCCACCGTGCCCGTGCCCGTGCCCGTGCCCGCGCCTAGCCGCTCGCCCGGTTGTGGTCGAGAGCCTCGGGCCATGGCCGAGGGTGTGCCGAGCCGTGGCCGAGCCCCTTGCCCGTCGCGCCCTCGCCCATGCCGAGCCGTTATTGTTCACCCGGGCCATTTTGGGCCCGTCCCGATTTTTCCCAGGCCAAATTTAGGTAAGCGACTCCCTAAACCTTACCTAGTATTATGGGTATTATTAGACTTGTTTAGGGATTAATTAGTATCGGGTTAGTGGCTAAGCTTGGATTAGGATCAATATGTGAATGTGGTTAATTGATAGATTAAGTTGTGATGATTATGTGGCATGATTAGTGGCTGGTTTATGTGGGTACGATGACCGGATTGTCGTGGCATTTGTGGGTGAAATTGACGTTTGATTGAGCCGACTTGAGTATCGGATTGGTGGACTAGTGTGATGAGTTTGTGATTTGAATTGGATTCGTGTGACGTGTGAGAATGGCGAATTGTGATGTGGTGTATGTGCATGTGAAATGTTCAGTGAGGGGCGGAGCCCGGATTGATCGGAGGGCTGACCTGAGGCGTGTTTACGCGGGTCGTGAGAAAGTGTGAAATGTCCAGTGAGGGACGGAGCCCGGATTGATCGAAGGGCTAACCTGAGGCGTGTTTACGCGAGTCGTGAGAAAGTGTGAAATGTCCGGTGAGGGACGGAACCCGGATTGATCGGAGGGCTGACCTGAGGCGTGTTTACGCGGGTCGTGTGAAAGTGTGAAATGTCCAGTGAGGGACGGAGCCCGGATTGATCAGAGGGCTGACCTGAGGCGTGTTTACGCGGGTCGTGTGAAAGTGTGAAATGTCCAGTGAGGGACGGAGCCCGGATTGATCGGAGGGCTGACCTGAGGTGTGTTTACGCGGGTCATGAGAAAGTGTGAAAGGTCTAGTGAGGGACGGAGCCTGGATTGATCGGAGGGCTGACGTGTGGGGTGTTGACCCGGGTCGTGGAAAGTTGCTCGGCCATGAATGCGAATTGAGTGTGATTGAATTGATTGAATATATGTGGTTATGGCGTTTGAGTGGTGATGTTATGTTCTTGAATTATTATTGCTTTATGGTGAATTATCTATTGTGCAGAGCTGGCGTGTGAATCGGTGCGAGGTAAATGTGAATTGGCAAGTTTGTTATATCGGTGGTTAGATTGCATGTTAGACTCGTCTGGGTACGCATTGGCCTAGGTGGGGTATAGGTTGTCTGCTTATTGAGATTTATCTCATCCCCCGTTGTTAAACATTTTCAGGTTTGGAGTGACGGATAGTCGTCACGTGCGGTTCAGAGACTGGGAGTGACCTTGGGCATTTGATGCTTTGTTTCATCTTTGGATGCCCCCCTCTTTTGTTTAGTGAAGTAGAATACCTAACCATCGCCCCCCTTTGATAAATGTGGCTTGAAGTTAGTAGCCTAGATTGAATGTTGTAAGTGACTGTCAGTTTTATGAAGTGCGTTTGTTGATTTGTGCCTATGCTATCCCGTTGTCATTGTTTATTATCTGGGTCGTTTTTATTCCGCTTCCGCTTGCCTTTATCGTTGGGTGTTTCGTTTGGGTCGGCGACGCATCCTGGGTTGTCGCGTTCAATATGGCCATCGAAGGGGTGTCGCGAGCCGGTCAGGGTTCGGGGCGTGACAGTAGTGGCCCAGAGGGATCGTGATAAATGGAACACGCATGTTGCATAGTGTTTGATTATGGGTTGAATACTGCTAGGCATGGTATGGGTCGTGCCCAAGTGGTTTTATATTATAATCGAAACACACACGAGTGTAGATGCATGATGCATGGGAAATCTCTTTATGTGTTCCGAGTACGTGTTATGCTGTGTGCATGGTTGTGATGTTTGTTGACTAATGTTATGCATGCCACGTGTGCCAAGGCGAGGTAAAGATGCTTGCGATTGTTATTCGGCATGTGATCGATCAGTATATGATGTGTGGTTGCCTGACTAGGAACCTCGAGGCGAGTTGGCCTCCTAAGCGGGGTTTAGGCCGTTAACTTACTGAGATTTTATCTCATTTGTCATTGTTAAACATATTCAGGCCCTTAGCATGTCGATGCACCCGGTACGGTTCGGGGTACCTCAGGACATGGACACTGTTGTTTCTACGCACGTGTTCCCTGACCAACCATATGTTTTTTAGCGCCATCGGACGATAGTTTGGGTGGATGAGGGCCTGAATCATCGGGCTCCCCACCAGTTCCAGGCCTGGTTTGTTAGGGATGGTGAGGATCTGTTTGGACCTATCAAGGAGTTTGACGGTCCTCCGGAAGAGGGTCCTGGGTACAAGATATGGGATCCTATGAAGATCGACCCACCTAACGGGTCAGTAGAAGATCCTGAGCCTGAGCCCGACCCTGTTCCCGAGGATCTATCAGATTTTAAGCCATTGGAGCACGACCCTGATTCATCCTACTTTGACTCACCAACCCTCTATATGGATAGCTCATGAGAGACCTGACTGAAAGCTGACTTTTTGACTGACCCACTGATGGTGAAGTAGATCGACCCCAGCCTGGTATCTTTTTATAGGCTTTTTGTGGAAGTGCCCGAAGTGGGCTTGTAAAGAAAAGTTTCCCAGGGGTTAATCAAGTGAATATTAAAATGGTGCTGTTGTTTGTTTGTTGTGAATCGCTTTCCTACCTATCCCTATTTATTATTGTTGTCTAGGTGTTGGTTGTTATTGCTTCCGCATGCGTAATAAAAAGAAAGATAAAAATGAAAGGGTCGGCGACGAGTCCTGGGACGTCGCATCATAACGACCATAGCGGGATGTTGCATGTCATAGGGTTCGGGGCCTGACATCCTCATTGAATTGGTATCAGAGCAAGGTCAGCTCGATCCAAATTTGGTCAAGACCTGGAGTGATAAGGTGCGATGGGTTTTGGGATAGTGAGTTAGGAAAACACTTTGTGCCTGTGTTTGATTGTTAGATTTCTCGTTCTTAAGCAGGTTGTTCACGATTTCTAATTCCTTGTTGGAATTAGAAAGCAGGTTTCTCCAAAGATCCTGTAAGATGAGAAATCCCGACCCGAGGGCCCTTAGGAGGAGAGTCGAACCAGGTCAGACTGGTGCCAGAAGGAGAGCACCAAAGGATCCTAGATTAGACCGGATCCTTGAGGCCTTAGAGACCCTGGTAGGACAGCAAGCTCGTAATCAAGCTGCTGCCGCCGGCACCGCCGCTGCCGCTATGCCTGCACCTGCACCTGTACCTATACCTATAGATATTTCTTTAGCTGGGAATGGAAATGGGAATCAACCCATGCATAAGTTGGTGGGGGCAATTTCTGAAGTTCAAACTGCCCAAGTTCACTGGTGCGGGTGATCCTGAGGCTACAACCCTCTAGATCAAGGAGTTAGAGAAAGTGTTCGCTTTGCTGAGATGTTTGGACTAAGACAAGGTGACGCTGGCTATCTACCAGTTGCAAGAAAACGCAAGTACTTGGTGGGAAGCTACCCAAAGGAGGGTGTTCCCCGATGGTACGGCCCAGGTGTGGGGTACCTTCGTGGAAGCTTTTTACAACAAGTATTTCTCAGACTGCGCCAGGGAACAAAAGATGAATGAGTTTCAACGTCTCCAGTAGAATCAATTGTCCGTAGACCACTACGAGGCTAAGTTTGTGGAATTGTCCAAATATGCACCGAGGTTGGTTAAAGATCGAGTTGATAAGGCAAGGAGGTTTAGGGATGGGCTGAAGCCCGAGATTAAGGATCAAGTGGTGCCTCTGAATCTGAAGGATTATGATGAGTTGTATGAGAGGGCACAGTTGATTGAGAGGAACTTGGCGGACAAGACAGTCGCGTCTTGATCGCGGTTTGTTCCAAGTAAGGATAATCATCGGTTTGGGAAGAAACCAATGACAAGAAGTAAGTTCCTTGTCCCTCCTAACAGGAAAGGTGGCGTGAAGAAGCCGGCACCCAATCAAAATAGTACATACCACTTTTGCCGTAGGAACCATGGATCAACCCCGTGTCCTGTGAGAACGGGAGCTTACTTTGGATGTGGTCAGCACGGTCATCACATGAAGGACTGTCCATGCCAAGCCGCGGGAGCGCAAGGATCAGCGCAGCAGGTAGGACAACCTGCGAGGAACACCCCACCGAACCAATTGAATCGACCCCAAGTACAAGGAAGGGTCTATGCTGTCAGAAGGAAAGAGGTGGAGGACTCGCCCGCCATAATTATAGGTACGGTCTCATTACACGACCATGCTGCTTATACTTTGTTTGATTCTGGAGCTACCTATTCGTTTGTGGCTAAGCAATTTGTGGAGCTATTGGGGTTAAGTCCGAAACCACTAAGAGTTGTCTATAGTATTTCTACCCCTTTAAAGGATAGCGTAGTGTCTGCAGTAGGATGTGCTGATTGTAAATTATCTATTGGTGGTCGTGAGGACAGCATAGATTTCATTATCTTGACGATATTTGACTTCAATGTGCTTATTGGAATGGATTGGCTCACCAAGCAACCAGCCACAGTAAATTGTTATCGTAAGACGATTCAATTTGAGCCTTTAGGGAGTGTTGGGTTTGAGTTTGTCGGAAATCGAGGAGGACCATCAATTCCTTTGATCTCATCACTTGAAGTTACTCGATTGTTGGATGAAGGTTGCCAATGTTATTTGGCAACTGTAGTTGACACTCTGGTAGAGGAATCGAAGGTGCAAGACATAGCTATAGTATGAGAGTTCTCGGATGTTTTTCCTGAGGAATTACCTGGGTTGCCCCCAGAAAGAGAAGTAGAATTCGTGATTGAGTTAGTCCCTGGTATGGAGCCGATTTCTAAGGCACCTTACAGAATGGCGTTATCGGAATTGAAGGAGTTAAAGGTTTAAATGCAGGAGTTGTTTGACAAAGGATTTATTCGTCCTAGTGCATCAACTTAGGGAGTGCCGGTTCTATTTGTAAGGAAGAAGGACGGGTCGTTGCGCCTTTGCATCGACTATCGGCAACTCAATTAGGCGACGGTTAAGAATAAGTATCCGTTACCAAGGATAGATGATTTGTTTGACCAACTTCAAGGAACTTCGGTATTCTCGAAGATAGACCTAAGGACAGGTTATCACCAATTGAGAATTAGAAAGAAAGATATATCGAAGACGGTATTTCGAACGCGCTATGGACACTATGAATTTACCGTGATGCCGTTTGGTCTGACAAATGCGCTTGCAGCTTTTATGGACTTGATGAACAGGGTGTTCAAGGAGTATTTGGATAAGTTCGTAATCGTGTTCATTGACGACATTCTAGTGTATTCGAGGAGTTATGAGGAACACAAACAACACTTGAGGACAATGTTGCAAACCCTTCGAGACCACAAGTTGTATGCCAAGTTTAGCAAGTGCGAGTTTGGTTAACTCGAGTAGCTTTTCTTGGACACGTGATTTATGGGGAAGGAATTTCAGTAGATTCGACTAAGATTGAAGTGGTTATGAATTGGCCTAGACCAACGACGGTAACTGAAGTTCGAAGTTTCTTGGGATTGGATGGCTATTATAGGAAGTTCGTGGAAAAATTTTCTGCTATAGCCATGCCCTTGACATGCTTGCTAAAAAAGGACACAAAGTTTGAATGGACGGATAAGTGTGAGCTTAGTTTTCAAGAGCTTAAGCAAAAGCTAACTACTGCGCCTGTGTTAACGTTATCGTCTGGTTCAGGAGGGTATGAGATTTACAGCAAAGCGTCATACAAAGGATTGGGATGTGTTTTAATGCAGCATGGGAGAGTTGTGGCATATGCGTCCCGACAATTAAGACCGCACAAATTGAACTAGCCGACGCACGACTTGGAATTAGCAGCGATCATTTTCACGCTAAAGATTTGGAGACATTATTTGTGCAGGGAAAGGTTTCATATTTATACGGATCATCAGAGTCTCAAGTATTTGTTCTCGTAAAAGGAATTAAACATGAGGCAACGCAGATGGATGGAGCGGCTTAAAGATTATGACTATGAGATTCCGTACTATCCTGGTAAGGCTAACAAGGTGGCCGATGCATTAAGTCGGAAGTCTTCGATTGCGCATATGATGGTTCAAGAATGGATTTTACTTGAAGAAATTCGAGACTTGGATTTCAAGTTCGAGGTAAGTCACCTCTCGAATTTAATGGCTACTCTTAGAATTGAGCCCAAAATGCAAATCAGGATTAAAGCAACGCAATCTTCGGATCCTAAACTTCAAAAGATTCTGCAAATGGATGCAACCAAAAGAAAACCTGACTTTCAAGTATCTAAGGATGGGATCTTAAAGTTTCGTCGACGGTTGTACGTGCCCAATGATGAAAGACTTAAGGAGGAAATTTTAGCAGAAACTCATCGCAGTAACTATAGTATTCATCTAGGCAGCACAAAGATTTATCAGAATCTGTGCCAATATTATTGGTGAAATGGCATGAAGGGAGATATTGCCAAGCATGTGGCTAGATATTTAACGTGTCAACAGGTGAAGGCCCAGCATTGTAAGCCTGACCGATTGCTGCAGCCGCTGGGAATACCAGAATGGAAATGGGAGCATATCACGATGGATTTCGTGATGGGTCTACCGAGGAGCCAAAGAGGTAATGACTATATCTGGGTGGTAGTGGATAGACTTACAAAGCCCGCTCATTTCATTCCGGTGCGAAAGGACTTTGCTATGGACAAGTATGCGGAGTTGTACGTAAGGCATATGGTTCGCCTTCATGGTGTGCCTGTAACGATCACGTCGAATCGAGATTCTAAGTTCACCGCCACGTTCTGAAAGAGTCTTCAAGGTGCCATGGGAACAAAGCTGCAATACAGTACCGCTTTTCATCTGTAGATAGATGGACAATCCGAGGGAACGATTCAGACTCTTGAGGATATGCTGCGAGCCTACGTTCTGGATTTCAAAGGAAGTTGGGAAGAACAACTACATCTTGTTGAGTTCGCGTACAGCAACAGTTATCAGCAAAGTATTAGAATGGTACTTTTCGAGGCGTTGTATGGCAAACCCTATAGGACTCATGTCTGTTGGAACGAAGTTGGAGAACGAAAGATTACGGGACCCGAGTTGGTGCAACAGTCGTAGGATGCTGTTAAAGTTATCAGGGATAGGCTAAGGACGGCCCAAAGTTGCCAGAAAAGTTATGTAGATAGGCGACGTAGACCATTGGAGTTTCAAGTCAGAGATCATGTGTTCCTCAAGGTATCACCCATGTGAGGAATATTGCGCTTTGGCAAGAAAGGCAAGCTGAGCCCAAGATATGTAAGATCGTTCGAGATCTTGGAGCAAATTGGAACGTTGGCGTATCGCCTAGCTTTGCCGCCAAGGTTGGTTCAGGTACATGACCTATTCCACGTGTCAATGTTAAGGAAGTATGAGCCGGATCCGATCCACGTTCTAAATTACGAGGAGATAGACGTGGACGATAGAATGTCGTACGTGGAAAGACCAGTAAGAATCGAGGATCAGAAGGAGCAGGTACTACGAAATAAGACGATTCCTCTAGTCAAAGTTATGTGGCAACACTATGGAACCGAGGGAGCCACGTGGGAAAGTGAAAAGATAATGAGGCGCCAGTATCCCTTTCTTTTGAGGAATTGGATGTAAATTCAAATTTCGGAGACGAAATTTCTGCAAGGGGGGAAGAATTATGATATCTTGAAAATTCGATCCAATTTGATAATTTACGAAATGGTGATTTTGTCGATGCTCTATTAGTTAATTCTCGCCCTGACTTGATCACTCAGGGAATCCTAACCAAAGGGGAAAGGCTATCGAAGAATTTATTTCTAATAGCCGTCCGTTAGCTCGAGATGAACTATAGTTATGATTGATCGATTTCGGTCACAAATTATGATCCGATTTTGAGTGTCGAATGCTTAAGGATTTCACACTCGAACGTTAGGACGTCGCCTCGTAATTTTATGAGTTTTCCATAGAAAATTTTAATTTCGGAAAAGGATCGAAGATTCAGAAATTCGACGTGAGAAACGGAAGTAAACCAAGCAAAATTATGTCATTTGTCTTTAGGAACTCTAGGTAGGACTACACAACTAATGTTGTATTAAATGTCGGTTGTTGTTGCCAAAGAAATGTCACTTTCTAGTTGGTAGGAGGATGAAGTTACCCTAAACAAGATATAGGAGCTGCTGGACTCCTTGATTTTAAGAAGTAAATTAAGCTTTCGAAGAGATATTTTCATTTCAAGTTTCAAAGGATGTGAATGTAGAATGGTATACATGTATCGTATGAGTCGCGGCCATCTAGTCAAGTAAGAAAAAGCCGTTATAACCATCGAAAATGTTTACATATAGGAAAATTGACGTGACATTGAAGGGACTTCTTCCTCTGATAACAAGAGTAACTCTAGCTGTTTTTGGGGGTCATTTTAAAGTGAGAGCTCTTGGAATACTCATGTTAACTATAATTGATACGGCAATTAATTCAATATCTAAAAATAGTGATTATACATAACGCGAGAGTAATCATAGCATTAAAAAATTGGAAGTTTTTTCATTTATTTATTAACGAGTGCCCCTCTTTCTGTTCTTTAATAATTTAAGTTTCCTATCCCAAAGATCATAGAGGAACGAAAGATATAATCGGTGGAGCTTGATCGTCCAAACCAACAATTAATAGAAACATGGTTATTGGAATATAGATACAGGCCCAAGGATAGATCATTAGTTTTTTTTTTTGAAATATTCAATGCCCAATGTCTATATAAAAAGTAGGGTTAATACAACAAAAAATTTCCAAACTAGTACCTCAATTGGCTCTGTTGACATTCTGTCTAATATCCTGGTAAAATACATACGTTTCAACGGACGTGGAGGATGATAGATCTGACATGAAAAATCCACATGTGTTGATAAGTATGCACTTTGACGGAGGGTAGATTTGGGTCAAGGACATTAGTTTTGGATTTTTTGTGAGCAAAAAATTAATCTGGATTAATATGTCATGGGATTTCGATTCAAGATTTTTTGTGAAACAAAAATTGGTTGAGATAAATGTGTCATGGGAATACCAGCTTGAGCTTTTTAATAGTAATAACCCCAAAAAGTATATTTCTAGGAAAAAACTAAGAAAATTCATAAAACTTAATATAGGATAACTAAATTATACAGACATAGACATCGTATTCTAGAGGACATGCATATGTTGTTGGAGTAAATCTAAAGCTTTCATGTCATTGTGATCCATCGGATTTAAGCATACATTTTGGTTAATTGGACAAGATCAAGGTGGTTGGAATTTCTTTTAAATTCTGTAGGGCTTAAGGTATCAACATTTACTTTCCAAATTATGGCAACCTTTAAAGTCGGTTGGATTTTCTTCTTTTAAGTTTACATTTGTTTTTCCGGCCTCAAGTTAATTACTTTTTTTTTTTGGTAAAGGTAAATATATATATTACTATTCATTAAACCAATACAACCTAAAGCCAAAACCAGCCTGTGACCCAATTAGGACATGGAGATGTCTAGACGAGGTCAAAGGTGGTTCCGCGAGGACTATACAAGAAGACAGAGGCTAGAGTAAACAAATCTAGAAGATCGTAATAACTAAAGCCCAGGCATCCAGTTCGCTTCAAAGATTGAGAGCGGGAGCTCCCATTTCCTCTGTAGGGCACGATTCCTAGGAGTATCCTGAACTTTCCCAATGGATATGGCCTTGTCTTTGACTACTTTGAGAAGATGCTTGCGCATACCCGGAATGTATACGCTCTTGTTTCTGAATAATGCATTGTTTCTCTCTGTCCAGATAAGATGGACTAGCGCGCCAAGGGAAAATCGGGAGAGGCGGTGCGCAAAGGAATCTCCACCGCAAGTCTTCATTGCCCATAAAATAAGGTCTTGCCAAGGTCGATTGCGCCATGGGAGGTTGCATTTTGTCGCCCAGAAGGATGCCAGTCTACGTGTAGAAGGGCACTCAAAAAAGAGGTGGTTGACCGAGTCCGGCCTAGAACCACAGAAGACACAAAGTGCAGTGTCAATCCTTCGATTTTGCAGGAGGAATACCTGGGAAGGCAGCCGGTTGAGTGTAATAATCCATAAGAGAAAGGCATGTCTGGGAGCAATATGGTGGTCCCAGATAAATGAGTGCCAAGTAACTGGATTGCCTTTTCTCCTGATATGGTTCCAAGCAGACATTACTGAGAAGGAGCCCGAGGGATGTGGAGTCCATACCAGCCTATCCGGGGCATCATCATCAAGGACGGGCGGGGGATCAGGCCAGCTCAATATAGTGCCAAGTGTGTTTGAGTCCTGCCATGTACAATCGTAGAATTCCCGAACCGTTGCATCACGGGGGATTCGCGATTGATAATGTAAAATATTCATGGGTTTGAGTAAAAAACAATGTAAAATCACCGCCACCACACCAACCTTTTCAGTGGAATTTTTTAGTATGTAATAAAGCCCGGTTAAAACCCCATTTATCCCCAAGCATCTCATGGATTTTCAAGCCTAATTGCCAGTGTAGATAAATTTTCTATAAGCGACCTTATCCATTCTTAATTTAATTGTTAACGAGAGAGTGGGTAGTTAAAGTTCTCTAATCAAAGATGGATACGACCGCTTGTGTAATGTTTTCTTTATGTCGTTGGTATATACTCTGTTATTGCTTGCGTTGGACTTGTGTTTTGTCAATTGTTTTTGATGGATGGCACCTAATACAAATCGGAATATGACTTTGTATTAATAATATATGAGGGTGTTATCTTCGCGTTGCCGTGTGATAAAGAAATTTATCGATCAAATAATGAAGGTGTTTAGAATGATTGGTTACAAAGATTTCTACGAAGTCAATAATTCAATTAGTATTTTCATTAATATTTCCGTTATATGGATAAATAACGTCAAATTTTCATTATTCAAGTATCCTTTTTCTTTAATTCCATATTTGCCTACTTTTACTTTAAAGCCAACCGACGAGAAAGATATGCGCACCATCTCGTTTATTTCTTTACGAACTGAATTTGAGTAGCATCGCAAATTAATTATAACTGCTAATACTGTGGGAGTGAGAGCAAGTCCATAATCATATGCAATTTTTCAGTTTGTTGAATCGACTAAGCTAAACTTGCAAAATTGCGTATTAACAATCTTTCTCATCGAAATTACATGTGCCAGACTTTTTACTCATATTATAGTATATGTGAGCTTATGAGTTATGATTGTGAAAGTATCTGTAAGTTGTATCAATACCAATATTTTCAGATACAAAAAGTAGACTAAAGGGAAGAGGTTAAGAGGTAACCTCTTAATCAGGGGCTTCCCTTGAATTATTGGTGTTCAGGTCAGAGGTAACCTCACCAAAGGAAGTGAGATTTCGTTTCTACGAGGGCCTCTGCGGCCTGTCCCCATCCTGTGAGACGGGCTCCGTGGATGGGTTCCTTATTTTAACGTGCTAGTATCCACACGTCTCGCACTCTCAATTCCCTCTGTATCTTTATCTTCCTCAGGAAGATAGAATACCCTCTGAAATTTTTACATCTCGGTGATCTCGAGATCCGAACGAGAACCGACATGAAGTTTTTTAGGGATTTGCTTAGGTCCGAAATAAAATTGAGAAAGAATATAGAGGAAAAAGAAGGAAAAGAAAAATAGAACCAAGTGGAGGGAGAGTCCTTGGAAGGATGCCATCGTCCCTCCTAAGAACCCTCCTTTCTTACAAAGGTATAGATAGATTTCTATAAATCTTGTCAAATCAGTTTACAAGTCTATTCTTAGGAACTTTAAGCTAGGACTATTAACCAATGCGTATCAAATGTCAGTTGTTGTTACCGAAAGAATGTCACTTCGTAGTTGGTAGGAGGATGAAGTTACTGTAAACAAGACATAGGAGCGCTGGACTCCTTGGTTTTGGAAGTGAATTTTCATGAAGAGTTTGTACCTGGATGTTGACAAAAGCGATGGGGGTGAACTCTAGACAGGTGAAATCTTCACATTTAAAGAAAAAGAGCTCTTTACTCAGAGCCGCTGAAAGGTTGTTCACTAGTTTTGACATGATAATATACTAGCGAAAATTGTTTAAAGAGTTATAAACCTATTGTACTTTTGTCAATTCACTCATAAACCATT